GGCATTATATCTAGTGATAATATCATTATGACTGCAAAAAGCATGCGAATCTGCTGTTGAACCGAATTCCGGCCTTTACCGGACTGTGGACATGCTATCGAAATATCATTCCTAACCATTCGTTTGATAGCAATAGGGGCGGAAAGATACACATCTAGGTTTCGGGATGTTATCTGGGTTTTTTCGATGAAATGATATTCGTATGATTTGTGTGAATAAATATTGCACAGGATGAGATTCTTGAAGTGTCCGGGAAAATATACAAAGCAGGAATGTCTCTTCTTGTCATCGACACCGAAAACAAGTTCGTTTCGACCGGTTTTGCCAACGAAATCACCCGAGTAGCTCAAGGTGCGTCGAAAGAAACATTCATTCGTTTTTATGCATGCGGAACTCAAGGAAATAGCGTCTCATCAATTTGTTCTTGCAGGGAAGTACTATTATTTGCCAAATGCTTCAGATGCTGTCATCTCAGCTACAACGAAGGAAGCATTATCGGCTTTGAAAAGTTCGTGATTTCGAAGAATTATCGAGTTTCACCTACTCGACGACCCTCGTGATCTACCCAAATGTAAGATATTATGCTAGTTTCATTCGAAAACCGACCCGAAACACTCGTTGAATCATGTCATCTGCATTTTTTTGTGTATCTCTAACATCATCCCCTTGTATCTCCATTGTTCAGTCATAAAACAGAGATTTATGGTACTCGAAACAATAAAGAACCGCGGTAGTGTCCGGAACATATTTAGATATGAATACGAAGATATGATCCTCTAAAGATTAACGAGAAATCATCTCGCGCATATATATATATATATATTGCTTAAATTGGTTTATGCTCCCTTGACCTTTCACTCAACAAAGCATTATATTCCTTGCCCAGGCTGTTATATTTCTCGCTCAAGTTCTTGAAAGCTTCCCTCCTCTCTTCCGCGATACGCTTCTTTGCTGCTGTCGTCATTGCCGTCTTCGTCATCTCGACACGAAGCTTCAGTGCTTTGATTCGCTTTTTGAGCTCCTTGATCTTCACTGTTTTCTCCACATGCTGTTTCTGTAGTGTTTCCAACTCTGATGGTGATTTCACTGAAGATTTTCAAGTGTTTTAGTTTGGTGTTCCGTATACTAAAAAAAGGTTTAAACATGTTAGAGGTTCATGTACTATTTCAAAATTTAAGATTTAATCCTTATACTTTAACTTTGTGTCCAAAATCGAATTAACTGAACTAAAAACCAATGGACCGAATCGTATATACCCTTACTACTAGGTCAACAATGAACGGTAAAATTAATTGAAGATTTGTGGTCTTTTTAAGTTTAGTGTCAACTCTTAATCTGACAACTATAAGAAAATGGAAAAATATTTTTTTTAGTTCCTATATTTATAATTTATATCAATGTGATCCTTTTTATAACTGCTAGGTCATCGGCTAACAGTAAAATTAAATAGAAATTAGCGGAAGGATAAAGATTTTCAGTTAAGAACAATATAAAAACTCAAATGTCACGAAATTAAAATATAAGATTAAATTTTAAACTTTGAAATAAATAGTACATGGATCTTTCAATAAAAAAAACTAAGAAAAAAAAATAGAACTGCCTGAAAATATCAAGAATCTAGTACCTGGAGAGCTGCCGTTGCCACTGCCTTCCATGATGTTTACAACTACTTCCTATCCATAATTTCGAAAACTTTTCATATATTTGAAACATCATATTCAATAATTTATCAAAGACTAAGGCAAGACTATATTTTTGGAGGACGAATTTATAAAATTAAAAAAATATATTATCAATAGACATATAGCAGTTGAGAAAGAGAAGACATAAAGATTACCTCAAAAGCTGAAGCTGTGGAGAGGCAGAGAAAATATTTATTGGGTATTTTAAAATTGTGGGTAATATTTATATATGAAAGGCATGCATGCATGTCACCAACGTGTCAACGTGCATTTAAACTAACCTTTCTGGAAAGCTTAACTTCCTTGTAATAAAAGCTCTGTGATGTAATAAAAGCAACAGCAAGAGTGTAAAGGTTTTATACGAGGTGGGTTTTGATTAGGGGTGCTTATCTTTTAGTTGAATAGTGTTCGATTCGTGTTTGTATAAAATATTTATTATTTAATACGTTCGATAAAATTTTAATTGATTTGTGTTCGTAAAAAAAATTTATTGCTCGATTTGTTACTCGTTAAGCTCATCAAAAAAATTTATCTTATTTTTTAACTACAAGTAAAATCTAGTAATTGTCATAATATATAGAATTTAATATAAACATAAATGAATAAATTTAATAAAAAATAAAAAAAGTGTACGTAGTAATTATTAATGAGACTTTTTTTAATAAAACATCAATTAGTAAATAATAATTATTAATTAATAATTTAATATCTTTCTTATTATCTATTAGTAAATAATTAATTATTAATTAAATTTTTTTAATAAAATAAATTATAAGGTAACTACTAAAAAACTATAAAAAAAAAGTTAAACAAATTGTTCATGAATTTATTGTATCAAGTTAAATTTTACTCGACTCAACTCGTTAAAATTTTAAATTGAATAAACTCAAATCAAACATAGATCAAAATTTAAACAAATCTAATTTAAACAACTCACCATACTTATTAAGCAACCCCGTCTTGACTCTTGACTAAAATTTTTGGGTAACGTATGTGAATCATTCTTATTATGAAACTTAAAGGTCTAATATTTCTCTAAGTCCCTCTACTATTGATACATAAAATGAAGACCCTCTATTTTTAATTCAAAGATTTTAATTCCTATACTCTTTTGATTTGATAATTGAAATATAATTGATAACATCTTCAAAAGACCTTCCCTAAATTATATTATTTGACTTTAAACAACAAAATTACTCATGTAGCCAATTTAAAACAATATAGTAAAGGAATTGCTTTTATTCCTTGAAGTCTCGGGTTCGAGTACCATGAAAGCCAGTGGTGTGAGCGTTCAATATCAAATGATTAAGAGTTATTTTTGAACAGATAATACCTTATATTTACCCAGATTAATATAGAATTCAAATTAAATTTTAAATGTAAAAAAAGTAAAAGGACTGTGAAAGAAATTAGACCTTAATTGAATTGATTAATTATTTAAAGCTAATAACACGGAAGGTTTGTTTGTAGAACGAATAAGTAATAAGAACAAACCTCTTCTTTCGCCCTTTCTATTTCAGTCCAACAGAACCAGAAGCTTCAAGGCAGTGTACCATTTCTCTTCTTCTTCTTCGTCTCTCTTTTCACTTTCCTTGTGGTTTTGAATCAAGAAATGGCAAATGAGAAGAAATCCCAAGCTGGTGTTTGGCCAAAAGTTAAGCCTTTCATCAATAGCGGTACCTCTGGCATGCTTGTCACTTGTGTCATCCAACCCATTGACATGATCAAGGTTAATTTTGGGTTCCTTTTTGTTCTTTAAGATCTGGGCTTTGCTTCGATTTGTTTTACTGATCGATGGTTGTTTGGAGCAGGTGAGAATCCAACTCGATCAGGGATCAGCAGCCACTGTCACCAAGAGCATGCTTCAAAATGAGGGCGTTGGTGCCTTTTACAAGGTTATTTTCCCACATTTTCATTCAAGTTTTGATTCTTCTTTTGATTCATGTTTGTATGATTGATCGTTGAATTCTGTTTCCTTGAATACTGGAATTTATTACTGTTTCATTGGATGAGATATGTTGCTGCTTGGATTTGTAATCTATTTCCAGTTTTTCCCAATTCAAGAATGTTGTTAGACTTTCTCGGTTGAATCTGAACTATAGCCATTATGTTACTCGAATTCGAATGTGAGTGTCTTATATGACATGGGGACTTTGGGCAGGGGCTATCAGCTGGACTGCTCAGGCAAGCTACATACACTACGGCTCGACTTGGATCATTCAAGTGAGTCTCGAGGCTAAATTCGGATTATCTGAGTCTCCGGTTTAGCTTTTGTTTGTGTTTTGAATTCGATTGTTTTTGTACAGAATGTTGACAACCAAAGCAATTGAAGCCAATGACGGGAAGCCCCTTCCTCTATATAAGAAGGCATTATGTGGTTTGACTGCCGGTGCCATCGGAGCCTGCTTTGGCAGCCCTGTGGATTTGGCTCTTATACGTATGCAAGCCGATGCCACTCTACCAGCTGCTTAGCATCGGAACTACTCGAATGCATTCCACGCTCTCTATCGTATCGTTGGAGACGAAAGGGTTCTGGCACTTTGGAAAGGTGTAGGTCCGACCGTAGTCTGAGCCATGGCATTGAACATGGGAACGCTTGCCTCGTATGATCAAAGCGTCAAGTTTTTCAAGGATTCACTCGGCTTAGGTGAAGCCTCAACTGTGGTAGGTAAGAGTCTTTCGTAACCTGTACTCGGTTTAGTCCGATAGCTGAATCATAGGGTACGAGAATATGACTCTCTCTCTTGGTGAATGCTTCTCGTTTTTGTCATCTCAGGTGCGAGTGCGGTTTCGGGTTTCTTCGCTTCGGCTTGCAGTTTACCATTTGATTATGTGAAGACACAAATCCAGAAAATGCAACCTGATGCTGAGGGTAAGTATCCATACACTGGCTTATTAGACTGTGCCATGAAGATCCTCAAGTCCGGCGGACCGTTGAAATTCTACACTGGATTCCCTGTATATTGTGTTAGAATTGCTCCTCATGTCACGGTATGTATGTTATACACTCGTTGGTATTCGATTCTCAATTCAAATTCGAACTGAAAGAATCAAAACGAGTTTTGAATTGTCCCTGATGACACTGAATCTAAAATGTTCTGTTATGCAGACCTGGATTTTCCTCAACCAGATTCAGAAGATCTCAACAATAGAGGATTAAATTCCATACATCGCAATAAAAGTTTGATTTTTTTCGGATTCATCGTTATTTTTAGCAGAATAAAACTCATAATCAAGTACAAAGCTTTGAATTTGAATCTTTAGTTAAGCTTCTTGATAAATGTTTTGTAATGTACTTTATGTGTATATTTATTTATTTTATGAGCGATCAGAGCAATTGAAGTCCTCACAATCCGATTTTAAGCTTGAATTCGATATGTTCTCTTCGGATTTTCCGATCCCGGTTTCAGAAATGGGATTGGGTGCCAAAGCAGGGGCTATTGCCGCCGAAACAGGGGGCGTAATATTCACATCAAATTTACACAACAGCATGGTTATAGTCATGATAATGGAAAGTCTTGTAGATGAAATGAGCCAACCATCTTGAAGCTGCAAGGCACATGATGGCCGTCGATACGATCGCAGTTCTAGTCACCATTGACATCATGTTCTGCTTCATTGCGGCAACGATCCCGATGGAAACAACCGATATGATCTGAAGCATTACTTCGAGTGCATTGAGACCTTTATATGCAGTTCTGCAACTCTTGCAATTCACTACATGAGTCCAGTAGCTGCTCAGTTCCGAATGGAAATCGAGGGTTGTAGCTTATGCTTCTGGGGCAAAGGTGTGTTGGATTCGTGTACATTTTGTATCAAGCAAGGCTACTTAATTTACCTGTCCATTAGCTGTTCTTTAGGAGGGGATGGAGGAAGAGCTCCAGTAGACTTCCCTTTCCAATCAATCTCGCCGCCAGCATACTTATTGAACCACCTCCGGAAACCGACCACAAAGGCATCTGACTTTGTAGGCACAAAACAAGCTTTTTGCCAATTGGTAACCCCTATTTCCATTATCTTACGCTCCTACATTGAGAACAAAAAAGTTTCCATTAGAGTGTTGGACACCGTTACGTGTCTGATACAAGTATGTTCGATTTTATCACCTCGACGTGAAGAAGATACAGATCAGAGTCAAAAAACAGATTCGATCGAATGTGAAACATCCATCTCGGAACAATTTTGTCAATCCAAACAGCAAAGTTTCTCGGGAAAGTCCAAATCACCCTGCTATTACCTGGGCTAACCGGAACACACATAAAAATCAAAGAAAGACTTTGATTTGGTAGTGTTGCCTGCACAAATTACTGTGTATGAGAAAAAAGAAAGTCACTGGCAAAACATAAAATAGTTAAACCAGATGTTCCAGTTTGAACCTTTTGGGATTCAGAAGATGCTGCATCAACCATGGGATCGGTATCATCATCGACGTAGGAATGAAAGATGCAAGGTGCAATAAAGAACGAATTGGTCCCGTCCTGCTTTCCGGTGAAACCATTGATGTCCAACTTCTTGACTTGCATCTCATATGGTCTGCCCCCTTCTCTGTCAACCTTCACTGTGAACCAGAATGTACAACATTACATGCATGAATTCCATATCTTGAACTACGATTTTCAATCAAGATGTCATACCTAAGAACACAAAGTTAGTCTCTCGAACGAATTTCAGCAAACATCGATGATTTTATGCCTCTACTCGGATAAGACGAGCTGCATACCCGTAAGGAATATCTCTGTTTGCCATCACCTTGGAAAATGAAGGATCATCCAATACAGGAATGTAAGGGGCCTTTTTGTTCTTTATAATATCTTTGTATTGTGGATGGGCATTTGGCCAAACCCACACAATATCATGCTGCACCGTGCTTGGATAAACCGCCACACATGCTTTCTTGAATGTATGCACCTGCAAATTCCAAAGCAAAGTTAAATAAAAGTTAACCCTTTCGCCAAAAACATCACACCAGATTGCTGAACATGAACTATGATACAAAATCAACATTGTATGACGAGAAACAGTATACACACACACACACTATGCTCAACCGAACGCGAGTGATTAGTACTATAGAGGAAAACAAACTTGCATGTAACCTTGTTTCTAAATGCTTATTTTGTTAGGTTGATTGATAAGAAACTTGATGCCTTTAGGAAGATCTTGAGTTTGAGTTTTGTGGACGGAGAAAACAATGCTGAAAAAACTTTTTCATAGGGCTATCGAACATCGGGGTCTTAGATAAAAATGCTTATTTTTTAACTTAAATATTAGCTAAAAAAGTTGATAACATGTTATACTACACGTACACGGGATAATGATAGTAAAAACGATCACAAAATAAAAGAGGACACCGAGGTTTTATATGAAAAATCTTAAACACAGTAAAAACCTAGTGCAAGGAACAGGGACGGAGCTCCCTTAGGGGCCAAGGAGCCCCAACCCTGTTAAAATTTATATATTCGATAAAATTTTGGTTTAATAGTATTTTGGTTCATGTAAAAATAAATATTTCAATTTAAAAAATATAAAAATTTATTAAATACTTAATTAAGTAGGGGTCGAACTAAAGAATGATAAGTACGTGTTCTCAAATTTTTGGTATAATTACAATTTAAGTCATTGTAAGTTTAAATATTAGACAAATTAGAAGTTGTCTTTTTGAGTTTTGAGTTTTTTTTTTTTTAATTTAGGGTGAATACAAAGTAATGTGTGGCTAAAAAGGTTAACTTTATACTAAAGTATAACAACAATCCCTTAATACTAAATCGCTTGTTTCATACTGAATTTCAAGTTTAAATATCTAATAAGTCTTTATATTTTTCTTAAATAATATAATATTTCTATTTAATTCGGTCTCCGTTAAGGAAGTTAAAAAAAATACTAGTATCGTAAAAAATACACGAGTATTACATCTATATTCGGCTTTATAAAGTAAACTTGTGTAACAATAAATCTATCAAATTAATTTTTTTTTCTAATCAAAACTTTTTGAATCAAATTGCGGAATTCTGATCACAAAACTCTTACCAAATCTAAGATAATAGCAACAATAACAAATAAAAATAACAGATTAAACATGATGAATATGACTTAAGAGAAAAGGGGTTACCGGGGGGTCCGTCGGAGGAAGCTTGAGGAATGAGTTTGCAGTCACCATTGCCACCAAAGCACCAACCATGGTAAACACACTGCAATCTACCCCATTGATCAATTCTTCCCTCTGACAAAGGAGCCAATCTATGAGGACACGTATCATCAAACACTTTCCATTCATTCTCATTCCTATCCCACCACACCACAAGATCAAGTCCCAATATCCTCTTCGCGTGCGGCTTCGTTTTATCCAAATCACACACCGGCATCACCGGGTACCAATGAGAATACCAATCGAATTCCTCTCTCCCACTGTCGATCTCAACTTCCGGCAGAGGTGGCTCAATGGATTCCGTTGTTGGGGACGATGATAAGGACGTAAACAACCTGGATTTTGATGGGTTTCTATGGAGAGGATTGAAAGATGATTTGATCCCAGATTTTAACAAAATGTTGTGAAAGATGGGTTTATGAAACTGGGTTTTAGTAGTTAAAATGCATCGTGCAGAAACAATGGAAGAAGAAGCTCTGACAACATCCATGGCTGCCGATTTTCGTTTGTTTTCTTCTTCTTCTTCTTCTTCTTGTTTAAACTCCTATTTAAGCTCACAAGCTTGAGTAAAGAGTAGTGGAGAAAGTACGCAAATGAAAATGAGTGATGAGTTGATTAGGGATTGGTATAGGAAAACAGTTGTGAGATGCTTCGTGTGGCTCAAATGAAGGAAACGAGTGATGAGTTGACTAGTAATTGCACAAGGAAAACAGTTGTGAGCTCTGCGTGGCTAAAAACGAAGGGTAAAGCTTTAGTTTTTGAGTTTTTTTTTTCATGTATTATTAGTCTTTGAATTTTATAGTCACATTAATTCTTCAACTTTCCTTTTATTTTATATATATTAGATTTAGTCCGTCACCTTAATATCATTATGACATCATTTATCAAGTCGGATAATATTTTTTTAAAAATAAGTTAAATTTAAATGTATTATTTTATTAGTTAAATTTTATTTAAAAAGTTTAAGTTAATAAAATTTAAGTCGAATGAAATATGACGCACATTTTAGATTGATCCCTAAATGTTTGAACAATGTGATTTTATCTTCAAACTATAACTCTCATATTAAATTGGTCTTAAAAAATTTAATTGTATAAATTTAATTCTCAAAATCATTCAAAACCTTTGGGATGCAATTAAAACATTCAAAAATTTAAGGACCAATATAGAATGTTCAAATTAATTTAAAATAATATTTGAATGTTTAAAAGTTTAAGAATCAATCTAGAATATGAATCATGGTTTAGGGATATATTGTGCAATTAACTCATTTTTAATGCTATTTTTCTTAAAATAAAGAGTTTTGAGGATAAAATATATTAATGAAAATATAAAAAATCAATGAAAAATTATAGTTAGATCAAAGTGAATAAAACATAGAACTAACCGATTAAGTTATAAAAATAAGAAATTGAAGGAAGAATCGGGGTGGGGAATGAAAGTTCAAAGCATAAAATAATTAAACTATTTAGTTTAAGATTAAAAGGATGTTTTAATTTTCTTACTTTTATGGTTCTTTAGATATTATAAATTCGAGTTCGAGTTCATTCGAATAACATTTATCAAATAAAAATGCATATTTTAAAAAGAAAAATTAATCTTACATACAAAGTAAAGGGTGTCATATTCACATCAAATTCACACAACGGCGTGGTTATAGTCATGGTAATGGAAAGTCTTGTAGATGAAATGAGCCAACCATCTTGAAGCTGCAAAGCAAACTATGGCCGTCGATACGATCGCTGTTCTAGCCACCATCGACATCATGTTCTGCTTCATTGCAGCAACGATCCCGATGGAAATAACCGATACGATTTGCAGTAATACTTCGAGCGCGTTGAGACCTTTATACGCAGTTTTGCAACTCTTGCAATTCACCACATGTGTCCAGTACCTGCAGAATCCCAAACGGAAGTGGAGTTTGTATCTTATGTTTCTCAGGCTAAAAGTAACGGGTATGTGTACATCCTCGATACGTCGGAAGGATATATCTTGGATATATGCCGAATGCGGGTATTCAGTACAGGTACTAGTGAAGAGTCGGAGCAATATAAATAAGTTACTAAATTTACCTGTCCATCAGCTGTTCTCTAGGAGGAGTCGGAGGAAGAGCTCCACTAAACTTCCCTTTCCAATCAATCTCACCGCCGGCATACTTGTTGAACCACCTTCGGAAACCGACCACTAAGGCATCCGACTTCGTAGGCACAAAACAAGCTTTTTGCCAGTTGGTAGACCCGATTTCCATTATCTTACGCTCCTACATTGAGAAATAAAAAGGTTTCCATTATGAATGTGGCATGCTCGATGCGAATCCCTTATAATCGTATCTAAATATACGTTAATCGTAGATATCCGACATGAATACTTCAAGAAGAACAAAGAACATGATATTGTTGAGACAGAGATAAAGGGATCACCTCAACATGAAGAAGATACAAATCAGAATCAAGAATCAGGTTTTGTCCAATGTGAAACAGCCATCTTGGAACAATTCTGTCAATCCAAACACCAAAGTTTCTCGGGAAAGTCCAAATCAATCTGCTATTACCAGGACTGACCGGAACACACATAAAAATCAAAGAAAGTCTTCGATTCGGCGGTGGTGCCTGCACAATCAAGGAAAATCTGCAGTCGAACTATATGCTACAACAGACACGACAGTCTGCCGGTTCAACCAGCTGATCTAAATAGCAACATAGTGAAGTGAATATAGAACCTTTTGGGATTCAGAAGATGCTGCAGATCCGTTTCCTCGATCAACTTCAGAATCAGTATCAGTATCAGAATCGGCGAAAGCATGAAAGATGCAAGGTGCAATAAAGTTCATATTGCTCCAGTCCTGCGTTGCAGCGTAACCATTTATATCGAGCTTCTTGACTCGCATCTCAAGTGGTCTGCCCCCTTCTCTGTCGACCTTCACTGAGAACCGAAATGTACAATTTCAGAAGCATGAATTCTGTATCTTGAAATTCATCGACAACTTCTTACCCGTAGGGGTCCTAGTGCGCATTAGTCCGTAATGTGCATACGGAACATGAGATGGATCCATAAGGTTTTCAACCAACACATCATACCTGAAAAATGCAAAGTTAGTTTCTCGAACAAACTTCACTGAACATCGATGACTTTCGTGTCCCCTATGTCACTCGGAGTCTTCGCTTTATTTATAGTATTCATGTTCCGCACATATTCGAGATATTTCCAACTAATAAGACGAGCCGTATAGAACTTGCATACCCGTAAGGAATATCTCGGTTTCCCATCAGCTTTGTGTATGAAGGATCATCCAATACAGGAATGTAAGGGGGCTTTTTCTTCGTTATAATATCTTTGTATTGAGGATCAGCATTTGGCCAAACCCACACAATATCATGCTGCACCGTGCTCGGATAAACAGCCACACATGCTTTCTTGAATGTATGCACCTGCAAACTTGAAAGCAAAGTTAAATAAGAGTTACCCCTTTTTCTGATAACACGAAACGCCTACGCATCACACGAATTCGCCGAACATAAACTACGGCACAAGTTCGACATTGTAAGAAGAGAAACTGTGTATATATACACACACCATGTTAATCGAACTCGAGTGATCAGTGATGAATATCATATGTCCAACACAAATATGCTTTATATATATAAATTTTTCCATACGCCTGCAGAGGAGAACATCCAAACTGTCCTAATTTGTATAAACAAATGTTGGACATAAGTACTACAGAGGACAAAGATTTTGCACGTAGCCTAGTTTCTAAAATATTTATCTGGTCAAGTGATAAAGAATGTGATGCCCTAGAAATAAGGTCGTGACTCCCTATATAATTAACTCGTGTTACAATCTACATAACGTTGGGTCTTAAACAAAAAGAAAAGTTCTTAATTCTCAACTTAGAATTACATAGTAGATAGTAACATCAGGATAGATCGAGGAATGTTGGAGTGCGGTCTCATCCTCTAAAAATTTTAAATTTCCTTATATTTTAAAGTTTTATTTTATATTTTTTTTTATTAATTATCTGATTTCATGCTCTAACAAATTTTATAACTTTACTCCCCTAAAATTGATAGAATTGCATATAATAATCATGAGAAGACAATAATCTTAGTTGATTAAAACCGCAAAACATTTTAGAACGGATCAAACAAAATTAAATCACAAACTCTGACGCTGATCATTCCACCATTAGAATAGCAAAAAAAAAAGGATAAACATGATGGATATGAAATGAAAGAAAAGGGGTTACCGGGGGTCCATCAAGGGGAGCTTGGGGAATAATCTTACAGTCACCATTACCACCAAAGCACCAACCATGGTAAACACACTGCAATCTTCCCCATTGATCGATTCTTCCCTCCGACAAAGGAGCCAATCTGTGAGGACACGTATCATCAAACACTTTCCATTCATTCTCATTCCTATCCCACCACACCACGAGATCAAGTCCCAATATCTTCTTCGCGTGCGGCTTCGTTTTCTCCAAATCACACACCGGCATCACCGGGTACCACTGCGAGTACCAATCGAATTTCTCTTTCCCACTGTCGATCTCAACTTCCGGCTGAGGTGGCTCAACGGATTCCGTCGTTGGGGACGATGATAAGGTTGTAAACAACCTGGATTTTGATGGGTTTCTATGGAAAGATGATTTGAACCCGGGTTTTGGTGTAAAGTTGTGAAAGATGGGTTTATGAAACTGGGTTTTGCTTGTTGGAATGAATGGTGCAGGTACAATGGCGGAAGAAGCTCTGAGAACATCCATGGCTGGCTGATTTACGTTTGTTTTCTATGGTTTAAATTAAACTCTCATTAGCTGACGAGATTAAGCAGAGAGGAAAGAAACAAAGAGTGAAGGAACTTGAGGCTGAAAGAGGATGAGCGTGTAAGCAAATGAAATAGCTACAGCACTCACTGAGCTTTGTGAGGCTGAAAGTGAAGGACGAAAGAGATGTCATCCGTTCGGAATATAAATGGACTACACACGTACACAAATGCATGTAATTATATTTTAAATTTCCCTATAATTAAAATAATTTTTTATATATTTGACTTAATTTCATATTTTTTATAAAAAATATTTATAATTTTGGATTCTAAGATTTTTAATATATTTTTTTAAAATTTTGTACCAATAATTTAAAATCTTACCGAATAACTATAAATTTTATCATTCAAATTTTTTCATTTGTATTTTAATAATTAATTTTTTATTTACTCTTATTTTAGTTGCTCAAGTATTAAATCTAAAAAATGATGATAGGACAGTCATATATACTAATATAGATTGTTTTTTACTGACAACAAATTTATGTCATTCTTGTTTTTTTTCTTTTTCTTTTGCTATTACTTTATTTTATTCTTTTAAAATAAAAGGTTTATAGTTTCATCCTTATATTGAGTGGATGACATAATTATAATTTTTTGGTGTTTTATTCGATTACTCAAGATATTAACCGGCTTGTTTCATTGTCTTCTACCATTTTGTCAATTTAAATTTTACTTAAATCACTTTAAAATCAACCCAAAAACTCATGGAATCCCAAATTATTCTGATCTATAATATTCATCATCCGGTCAATATGGAATCAAGATATATAACTTACTTCATCATCAAAAATTTAAAAGTAACTCAAAATTAAGATTTTTTTATAAAAATATGAAAAAAAATTGGGCTATTTTATACTTTTAAAGGTAAAAATTTCAATTATTTGGTTGTTAAGTAGTTAACGAGAGGGTGATTAAAATAAGAGTAAATTAAAAAATAAATTAAAAAATAAAATTTAATGACTGAAATAAAATGAAAGAAAAAGTTGGGTTGAGAAAATTCATCACAAACTAAATCTAAACAAATAAAAAAATTATATTATTTCTCCTTTGAAGAAAATAACTTCCTACAATTGTGATGTCAACTTATGATAAGAAATGAACAAATAAAACAATTGTTTGCATCTTTGAGTTTGGAAAAGAATGCCTAATATCATCTTCTCTATTCACACTAAAAAGAATCAAACTATTTGTAAAAACAATGTATTTGTATGCATCAAAACAATCTTGAATGGAGACTTCGCTGCAATAAATTTTCTTTCTTGAGAATAGGTAAACTTTGGGTTCCCATCTCTTCACTCATACCAGCTTCGGGTTCGGATAATTTCGGGTTTAGGCCACTGGTGTATCGAGTTGAAAAGTACGATTTTGTATAGCCATTACTTCTTGGAGATAAGTTCACTTGTTCCAGTGCCTAGAATTGGAGCTCCGATGGAAAATCTCTAACACAACCAATCCGGGGACCTGCCCCTGTAGTCCATTTGCATGACAGTTGCTTGCCCAATTGATATGATTTCATCCCTTTCTTAGAGTTAATCCTTTGAAGGATCGATTCTTCGGCAATGGCTTCGACACCGTGATTGTTTTCATCGATCTTTCCGTCTCGAACCATTGGATTTGAATGATTCAAATCTTTGTGTGAAGCAATGGCATCCTCAAATGATTCAGTCCTTACTGGTGCTTCAAGGGCTGCACCAGTTTCTTCTTCCATTGAATCAACTGAACTTTGGGTCGAATCTTTGACACCGGTTTCTTCAGCCTCTATGCTGTCTTCAGACGATGAATTGCATCGATTATGGTTACTTGTTCTATAGAAGCATTCTTCTTCATCAACCGGTGCCATCTGAATATAACAAAAACGAAAGCATCATGTTTAAGCCATCGGGTCCATTTGCAGAAAACGATATGAAATCATAGGAACACATTCCTTTTTTTTACCTTGACGTCGGTAAGATCGATATCGTTCTCCTTTAGAAACGAAATGAAGTCGTTGAAGTTCTCTTCCGTAGGACGATAATGACCGCTGTGAGGCCAAACGGCCTGTTCCAACAGGATAACATGCGACATAACGCGTGTTAGACATATGTACTTCGAAAAAAACGAGAAAAAATGTGAAAGAGTACCTAAGGATACCGTTGTCAACAACTAATCTACCGGCAGCAATCGTGGCGCCGCCAGCCAAGAAGCTAGAATGTTGAAATGTACCCTTCTTCTTCATGCCGACATACAAGACCTTCGATGTGCTGAGGACAAAAATCCACTTCGAATTGCTGTTTTCTCCTGTCGTTTGAAGAAGCTTCCCCGTCTGCTTGTATATGAACTTCCCATCTTCCACCACAATCTCATAAGGCTTCCTTTCCATCTGTATAATGAAAAAAGAAGATTGTTTCGTTTAGCATAAGTATAGTCCAAGTTAACATATGTTACTCGATTCGGGTGTGCACGTCGAGTATGAATATGTGCACCTAAACACTACCGGAGCGAGAAATAAAGACTCACCGGACCGAGATATTTGATGCACTGCTGTTGAAGCTTCGATCGAGGACATTTTTCGATATTCACTTCTCTGCCTTCCCCAATATCCAACCTGCATAATTAAAACAGGAATTTTCTTTTTCAGGTCTAACTTGTTACACAAGAAATCTAAATGTGTTTGCAAAGAATTGAAGAAAATTACCAGTAAAAGAAGGGTTCTTGACACTGAGAATGGAGCCATTGATTGTAATAAAAGTGCAGATTATGTCCATATCTATGCCGTGGATCAATCTGAATATATAACACGACGAAGCTCTCGAATCGGTATCGAATAATGAACAACAATGACAGAACTATCATTTCAGTATACTGCTAATTCAACTTACAGCCTCAAGCCAATGTTGTAAAGCAAGTTTTATAGCTTTATCGTTCTTTAACAAACCTTTCCCGACCTTTGCAGCTCTTGTCCTCGCCCTCGACCACCGTGAAATAGCCGTTTCGTGTTTATCTGTATCGAAAAACGATACGGAACTCCTTTTCAGCTCGGCAAAATCCAAGAGCTTCCACCTGCATTACAGCATACAATCTATGTTACTCGAATACGGTTACGCTATCGTATCTCATACACTCATGTCCCAATATATATATCGAATTGGCATACCAGCTCTGCTCAACAAGGACTGCACAATCTGCTAGCTTTCTTCTAGTCCTGAAGCTCTTGTAAACCTTTTGCAACCTTGTTGCTGCCTCCATTTGTGTGTTGTTTGGATCTGAATTCTGGGATTTTCTTGGAGATTCCAGGAAAGAATCTGGGTTTTGGTTTCTTGGGGATTGACTGTCAATTGCTTTGCCCTTTAAACACTCTGGATTGTCTGGTGATGAAGGTGATGAATCTGTTCCTTTGAAGCTAACAGATCCTTCCAATATCATCTTCCCAGAACCTAATGATTTTAGAATTGTAGGCTCTGAATCTGAGATTTTGAAACTGACGGATCTAAGTGGCGTTTTGATTCCTTCATCTCCGAAACTAATGGATTTCACAGTGATTGATTCTAAGCTTCCATTCTCCATCTCCGTGATGCTGCATTTGGCAAATGGCCATGAAAAACCAACACCCATTTCTGTCAAAAAAACTGAATTCAGATTCATCAGCGTTTTCATATGCTAAACATATATATATATATATATGAAATATGGGAAGAATGTAGTAGAGATAGACGAAGAACATTACCTTGAACTGTATGAAATCTGGGAATGTAATGAAAATGAACAAGTGAGGTACTGTTGGGTTAATGCTTGAGTTTGGATATATCGGTTTCTTCCTTCACTTTTCTCTCTGTTTGTTTCTCGAGAAATGAAACTAGCAGTGATGAGTTCTACCTGGGATTGCTTATATGATGGTGTATATATGATTTATTTACATAATATATTAAGACCCAAACCAGCGTTGTTTTCATTAATTAAAACGAAAGCTTTTTAAAAAGGTAGTTGGATTGAAACTTCTATACATGAATAGCTTTCATGGGGAAATGATCCTCTGGTTGACTTGAAAATCCCAGAAAGAGTTGAATCTTGATAGTTTTTTTTTAAATAAAAGAAAAATAAATTATTATGTCAATTGTATTATAATTTAATTCTATCTCACTCTTTTTTGTATTAATACAGATAAATATAAAATAATATAGGTTCAAAGATCTTAATTATTTAATATTGGACATTCATACCCTACATATATGAAGTTCGAATTCTTTAAGAGTTTTTTTCATCTCCATATGCAATAACGGATTCAAAACTATTTTGAAAGATAAATAAATATTTTTTTATTTGATAATTTGAAAGATTAGTGGATATAAATAAATTTTAAAGTGAATATAATTAATAAATATATTACTATTTTAAAGAAATAAATTCAAATTTTAAAATAAACATTTGTCTATCCTAGGTTAGGTCTGCCTCAGTCACTGCCTATATGGAAATTAGACTAACTAACCCCTTAATATTTTTTTAAAGTCTAGTGGCATTTTAAGTCGATGTAAATGGAATTCGTTGAGTGGTTTCAGTGATAAAATGGAATGTTATTCTCTTTAGAATATTTAAAGTCGAACAATTGTGTCTGCCAGGTGTGTGTACATTGCCAATGACTAAGAAATATTCTGAACAAATATTACCTTATAATTACTCCAGGCTATTAAAAAAATCTTCATAAATGTTATCTTCTCTATGAAGTTTAAATTAAATATTAGGTAGATCGTCATATTTTTTAAATATTAGTTTAAAAAACTAATTGAAGCTATTTACATTTGTATATTTGGGATTAATGCAAATGGTAAAAATAAAAAAGAGAAACACGTGAAGGTTCACATTGGAGAAGGCACCGTCATGAAAATGTGTATGAACAAAGAGTCAAATCCTCCATGTACTTTACACTTCATTACTACAAATAATCTCAAATATCTTTTAATAAATGTATATATACACAAGCACGCAGGTGTAGCCGAAAAGTTCGACACTTTATTATAAAGAAAGTAAAAGTAGAAGGATTAGAGTAGTAATAA